TAAGCAACTGTTCCTTACAAATCCGACCGGCAAAAGGCCCAGGGGACGGCCAAGATTAACCTGATGCAAATTTATGGGAAGAATCCGTTTTAGACTCCAACTGTCTTCTGCCGAAGATCAGACTCTGGCACAGGATCGAGATCGTTGGAGGCACTGTCTGACGTGTATGCCTCGGCGACCCAAAAAACGAAGTGGTTAAGGACGATGTTGATGATGATGATGAGTTTAGCATTTAAGGGGCAAGTATGAAATACAAATCCATACTTTCAACACTAAACTGGCTCTGTGCAGAGCAGGTGCGTCTGGAGTGTCACCGGCAATGAGTGGGTTCTGCTGTAGAAGAGAGAAACTGATTGAGACGCATTGACGCGTTGTAAAATGGCCAATATATTTCTGTGTTCAAATGGAATGGGAACCGGCTAGTATTATATGATTAACAGGACTTTGCCAACGGCCCTCATTTGTTTGCTTCATGTTTAAAGAACTTCTATAAAAGATTAAACATTTCACCAATGGCTACAACATACTGCGATACACTCTACAAATAAACGCATTGCGGTTAAGAAAGATATGGATTCACTTGGCTTGTTTGTCGTACTTATTTACCTATTGTATACGTGACTGCAGCGATAAGGGAGAAAAAGGAAGGAAATTCGTAAATGGAAAACACAATATAAGATTTCTTTCCTCAAAGCAGATGGATAATTATTTGTTGCAACGAAGCCAAAAGCTACGTTGAAATGATAAATCAAATATTTTTCGTATCTTCAATGCTGCCAATTTTAGAATTAAAGACGAACTAATTTAATTCCTTTTGCGAAGCTCAAATTTCATACTAAAAGTAAGACGGGTTAGTTGCCATAAGCCGTTGTATCAAATTGCTGAATTTTTGTGAGGAAGATGAATGCATGGCAAAAAATGGCGCACAGCTCTGCCGCCCCGCCACTCTCTGGAGGGTGGACAGCCACATCATGTTGGCGGAGCTTACCTAATTTTATTGGCTGAAATCCTAATACAGAGGGCATAAGACGAACAATCGGGTTCGTCGAATTTCATCTTCTATGACTGCTTCTCCTTTCTGGTCGCGGAGGCGGACGCATGAGACAGTGCTTCCAACTCCGCCGTTGCCGGTCCCAAGCCCGGATGAGAAAGGAGGAGGGTTGGAGACTGTGGCAAGTCTCCGTAAATTGAGCCACCTGCCACTCATGGTATTGACGCCTTCGAAAATTATACCGGCTCGGTCGTCGTTCGGGTTACCAAGGGCCGCGCAGGCTGTTGGGGGACTGAGGCAGACTGCGAAAAGTCGGCGATCAGAACCGCTCATTGCCCTCTGTCAGCCGGGAGCGTAGCAGCACAACGACGGTTTACGAAGACCGACGCAACGAAGACGAAGATACCAGTCAGCAACGGAGTCGCTACCCCTTCTGAACGGAGGAGGCAGACAACGCGATGCCATTATAGCACGTCAGAAAAGGCTCCATGAGAACGACACCACCAGTGGGAGCTTACAGTCAGGTTCAAGGATTTGATAAAAATACAGAAAACTGCCAAATTAGAAAAAGATTATCAAGTAT